TGTATGCATATGTATATATGTATATATACACACATAATATTTGTTTATATTCGTGATACATATCTGCACATGCATACGTATACATATACATACAGACAGAGAGAGAGAGAGAGAGACATATGTAAACCATGTCTTTTTCTGAGCTCCGACTGTTGGTGCCCCTTAAAGCCTCTGAACAGGGGCGCGCCTCTCGGCGCGGGGGGCTTGACACGCCCTCTGAACCCCGAAGTGAAGTGAAGTGAAGTGAAGTGAAGTGAAGTGAAGTGAAGTGAAGTGAAGTGAAGTGAACTGAAGTGAAGACATATGTATCCATATGCAGTTGCCTATAGCAATACACATATGTATATAGGTACATGCATACAGACAGGCAGACGTACATATACCAACATATATATATATACACATGAAATAACTATACTGTTCGTGTTTGTGTCTCAAAGCCAAAGAGAAGAGCCTTGGAAGCCCGTGGTGGCCGTGAATTACTTCGGCAGAAACAACTAACTAGCCGCTAGCCCTTGCCTCAATCATTCACATGCGGTCCTCTGCAGCACAGGTCTCGGAGATCAGGTGGCCGGACCAGAGAAGATCCTGGCAAAGACGATTCATGAGGAGCTGACACTGTGTTGAGGGGTCCGAGGAAATCTTCAAAGAGGTGCCAGGCTAGAAAGAGAAGTTTCGCAGAAAAGTTATAGAAAAACGAAGCAATTCACCATGCGCGTAAACCCAATGCCGGGGGATCGAACTAAGATGCTATTGTGGCAGGATCCGGAGGTAACGCTCTATGAGAATTTTGTGTCTCAAGAGGAGGCGCCGAGCATGCTGGGCTTGCAGCATCCATGAGCTTCCGTGCTTCCGTTTCTCGATTGCCCGATGTAGAATCATCGCTCACGCGTCCAACCTGACTCGAGCTACTTGCATCGCGCAGCTCTTTTCACCAGCAACACAGCACCTGAGCGCATCTAGGCTGCATGTCCCTTGGGTGGTCAGGTGGATCACTTGATCCAGCTTTGCGAGGGGCGATGGGCCAGCCGGCTGCATTTTTTAGGTCATTCATGCCCCTCACCGGTGATGGAGCTCTATTATCTCCTCACAGTATCAGGTAGACCAAGCGACTGCGCTAGGCGTCGAGACGAAAAATCTAAGCGAATCATAGCACCTCAGGGCATCACAGCTGAACGGCCTGAGCCATCTTCCAGACTTTAACCGTTAACCCCTAACCCCCCAGGTGCCTACTATATAGGGTACTAGAGCCCCTAGACCCCTATATAGTAGGTACCTGGGGGGTTACGGAACGGTTAAAATCAGATACCCTTGTCCAGTCAGGCGCCCGTTTACCAACTCAGCCACTGTTCACGTTGCTCCAGGAGCGATCCAAAGTATCCAAGGGCAAGGCACAGCGCCCAGGTCAGAAGTCGTCGATCAATTTATCATGTCATGCCACAGACCTTCATGGTAAACTTCTAAACCCCTGGCTGTGTCCGAGAGTGAGTGGCAAACACAAGCCGTTGTAACCAACCTCGCCTGCATTGTCCGAGCTGAGGCCACAGACCTTCATGGTATGAACAAGGGGGAAGCGAGCCATCCCCTGGGAGCCCAGGCCTCAGCTTCGGCAACCCGACAGGTCGAGTGAGTGCAGGGAGCTAAAAAGAAGGGAGAAGATGGGGCCGAAGATCTAAGCCGCTTTACTTGTCTCTTGCGGTAGGCCGGTAGGCTTCAGGGTCATATCTTGGCCATAGGTTGTTGTGTTTTTTTTTCTGGAAAGGTCTGCTGAGTCTCCTGTTCCCCTTTGAGGAAGAGGGCTATGGGGACACCCGCACTTCGTCCAGCGCGACTCGGTGCCAAAGGCGAGTATAGGGGGGACTATGGGTTCTCCAAAAAAAAAATGAGGGGGTTTCTGACCTCAGGGCTTTAAAGTGTTGAGGGAGAGATTCCTTCCATTAGTGGGTTTTCGTCCGACCTCCGTTGTGCGTAGCTGAGGTACACTTGGAGTGGAATGAGACGATTGTCACAGACACTTGGTCCTTCCAGGCTTAGAACTGTCGGTGTAGGGTTCTGGTCGAATGGAAGAACTGTCTCTCTGCACCTGTCGATTTCTCGCGATCAAGGAACGGATTGCAGCCAGAGTAGCGGCAGTGACTGGCACATGCTTGGCACAGGCCTTGTTGCTTTGTGTAACACGGTGCCGCGCTCACATGTGCTTGCTATCACACGACAGGTGGAGCCACTTGTTATGCTTCGCTACGAGCCCCTGCCTCAGTCATCATCTGACAAGAGCAAATGGGACTCATCCGCAGATTCCTGCAGGCTTTCGCACAGGTAGGTAAACCAACCTGAAACCTAGGTCCTAGGTTCGAAACTTGCCAGTGGAGCTGTTTGGCTTGTGCACATTTGCTTCGGAGGGCACATGAGAAGCCGCCAGGCCGGGCCAATACTTCAAGTTGCATCATGCAACTTCGACAGCACGAATATCCGAAGGTACCGGTGCTGTCGTGCCTGCACTGCCCTCAGTACGGCGGTTTGCTTTTGCATATGTTCGCAAGCCGAGGATGGCTCAATGAGACCTTCTACAGTCTTCGTCTATCTGAATGGTGGTGTCCTCAGGTGCTGTCCACTCACCTGGCATGAGCGGCCGAAAGTCTTCCCCGCCGGAGGGAGCACATAAGCGCACACTTCGTTCGATGCTGCTTTTTGGCTCGATCCCGGAGCTTCCCCGCAACAGCTTCAACATGGACTTCACATGTGATCAGACATTGAAGTCGTGTGCCAAGGACCTGCTTTCCTGCACAAAACGGCAACTGGTTTCATTCATTGAAGCACCAATGGAGTCTATGCTCACAGACACACAGTCTCTCTCTCTCTCTCTCTCTCGCCAGCAAGAAGTTTGAAGCTCTGGGCCTTTGGGTGGGTGGGAGGGAGCGGTATAAAACACGTGGAATGCGATCATGTTGCATCCTGTTGGAAGTATGATTTCGTCCTCTGTGTCTTCACGCGTCGAATCGCAGACATCATTTCACATCACAGGAAGATTCCATGGGGGCCGGGTTTCCGTCATCCATGAATACAGCAATCGCGCCGGCGTCCTGGACCCATTCGCATTCAGCTACGATTTTTGCTCCTCCCCTGCTTGCTAGTGATGCTGCGATGGTGATGTTGCCACCGCTGGTGCCTGTAACTCCTGCAGTGCAGCTGCTTCTCCTGTTCCTGCCCTTGCTACTCCTGGTGCCACGGCGACTACTATTGGGCTGTGTTGTGTCTACGGCTGCCACATCACCATAAATGTCATCACCACTTCCCACGCATGCAGTTGCAACTATGCCTTTCTGAGTTGTAGCAGCTCATGGAGCAACGTATAGGCAGACAAGCATGCACATTTTCATGGTTGTCTGACGCATGTACACTGCAAACTGCTACCAGACCGGCCACCGTGATGAGCTTGTGCAAGCTGTGAGAAGGACCTAATTGGTGAAGATGGCTGGACCGGATTGAGCGCACATGTGGTGTCCGAAGGCCAGAACAGTCTACAGGTCTCCTGCACTGCCAGTGCCAGTAGGACAAGGTAGTCGGAGCAACATTGTTGACGATGCTGGGGTTCGCTTCGATGTCTCTGGATCACAAACGTCTGTTTTACGATCGACTTGCTGACGTACGAGTGGCGGCTTAGGGCAGCAGCCTTTGTTATGGTGCGCAGTGACCAGGTGAGGCCTGCAGTGCCGCCTTCAAGAGGGTCCAAAACTTCTTTATGCTACGCCTTCGAACCAGCGTGCAGGCTGGACTCGTCCCCACAGCAGTTGTAAGCCCGTGATCCAGACCGGGGCTGTTTGCCGCTTTGCTCATTAGGCAGTTATGGACGACACCTCGAAATGTGGCCAGCTACCACGTCCAGAGATTTATTGCGATCGGCAAATGCTACAGAAGTTGGGTGCCCTGGCAAGCAAAACATCACCGGCAAGAGAGCCGGTAACTCACGTTTAGACCGCATTGGTACTGTACAAAGCTCCCAACAAGCCCTATCAGACCTGAACCTAAACCCTGAACCTTGAGCTCGCATCCTAGCCATGCAGGAAGCAAAACACACCACCCCCCAAAACACGCAAGAAAGTCCTAAACCCTATAGAGTCGAAACCCTGCTCGCTGCTAGTTCTGCGCCTCAAAGACCCAAGCGTGCCTTCCTGCGATGTTCTTCTCCGAGGACTCTCCGGAGACGAATATTGCAAACAGATGGTGGAGGAGATTTTAGCTCCAGGAGCGCTCTCTCTCTCTCTCTCTCTCTCTCTCGAGTTCTGAAGGGGGGTTCCTTCTGGCATCTATAGTAACTTATGGTAGTTTATGGGGGTTCCTCGAAGGATCCAGAGGGGCCCTGCAAGGGGCATTAGCAAGCGGCTGACCGACCAAAGGAGACATTATCTCCAACACTATCCTTGACGATAACGTCCAAGATCAGTGGAGCAAGGCACCACAGCGAGTGCACTGCAGCCAAATTGAGATAAGAAGACATGATTCGAGAGGCCGCAGAACATGCAAACATCCTCACTGGTGCCAAGCCCTCGAACAACCGCGAGAATTACTACCGAGAGAGAATCTTGGCTGTGCAGCATGCTGTTTTGCGGTCAACTCCACCTTGTCCTTGCACATGCTCTATCATTCGCTATGCGTGCACTCTGAGGAATAATTCAATGGCGGGATTTTCCAAATCAAGGCAGGCAATATCCGACCTCAGATCGCGGCACTCTTCCGGTAGCGACGGTGCACCGTGTCAAGTGTGGTTTTGTTGCGCAGACGACTTCTTTGTGGGTGAACGTGATGGTGCACCCCCCCCTCTCCATAGAGAAACCGACAGAGACTTGTTGTGCAGAGGCGTGGTGACAATTGTGCATCTTCCCTTTGATCATGAGCTGGGGCGCTTCGTGGCCCAAGCTGGTTCTCATTTTGCGACAGAAGCTTGACTTTGCAATGCTGCAGTCAGGGCAGGTGAGTTTCTTTGTGGATATTGTCGCCCAGTCTTCGACATACACGCCTGCAATGTTTCGCGTGAGTTGAGAGGGTTGAGCTGTGGGACAGACTGGCGAGAGAAGAAGGAAAGAAGGCCATGGTGAGAATGAACGCCAGTACCGAGACGTATACATGTCATTCATTACTTATATCTGCTTAGGTTTTTGCGCATGTGTTACGCGTGATTTCACAAGCACCTTGGCACAGAAGTTATGTCCGCTGTCCTGCTGAGC